TATCCTATCTACAAAGCGTCGTTTTCACAATGTCCTATCTGCTATGATTTTCTTAAGCAGATAGGACATTGTGAAAACGACGCTTTGTAGATAGGTTATTTTGAAAACGACGCTCCGTAGATAGAATATTGTTGTTAACACGCGTCGAAATACGCAGCCGCTACAAACTCCGTGTTTGCATGTTTTAAAAGACGTTGTGTTGTCGTCCACTGAAGTTAAACTGCTTTCGCAGACATTTTTGGTTACGAATAAGACTCGTTTTGAGTCATTTCGCAAAAATCGCTCTAACGGAGCGATGAAACCTTCGTCGCTCTATTCGGGCAAGAAAGCTCGCTTTACGTTTTACAGTGCAGTCTGCCTCTGCCCCATCAAAAGTGCGACTTAGCTCATCTGTTTTTCCAGTGGCATGTTTACATTTTCTTTCTTCCAAATTAACCACCTGTGTTATGCTACATGTTTGAAAACATATAAGAAATGTGGTTTGAGCGAAGAAAAGTACTGAGATTCTTTGAAAGTTCACTCACGAATAAAGTCGTTCAACCCTTCAACCATTGTTAACTTCAACTCTGTAAAATGTTTTCCTACTAGTTATGCACTTCAGAGTGTTCAACTCAACAGCTGTTCAACTCCTCCCTTGGACCACGTCCACGTAGGTTGGATTGCCCATTGGCTAAGGGCCGTAAGGCGCTGTGGGCATGCGATGCAGTACAACTACAGAAAGTCGTCGGTTTAGTGAAACTTAGAAAAGATAGTAAATCCCAGTCGGTCATTAGTGTGTCTTTATCTTCGCGGTCCATTCATACTCGACACACCATACGGTGCAAGACAAGCGCTGCCGCGGCTCTGGCTCTGTCGCAGTAACAGATGGGGAATTGAAATAGTTGTCATCGGACACATGCTTTCACTGCCGCCGCCCCCGGCCTCCTCCCCTCCCCCCGCCGGCCGGGCCGGGCTGCGTGCAGGCGAGGTGCCGCCGACAAGTTTTTGCCCCCAACTTCCCCTATACTCGCGTGTGAGCTCGACGGGGACGGAGCAGCGCAGGGGATGAGGGAGGCAGCCGATGCAGTCCGACCCCTTCCATTATCGCTTCTTAATTGCAGGCTGCTCGAGAGATTTCGCGGCTCGTACCAGAGCGGAGAGGGAGGGAGAGTGTCGCTGCGGGGGAGAGGGAGGAGGGGGCACCGGCAGGGAGTCTGTCTATCAACCTGCTACTCCCTCCCCCCCCCCCCCCCC